CTTATGAATATCCTTAATAAACAACATTATATACATCATAATTGGATATAAGACAAAGTTTACATTGAAAAATGTATAATTATTAAAATTTGGCATTAAATTTCTATACCCATAATATGATCTGATAAACCAGCTTAATTTAAATAAGCATTACTTCTTCCATTTGCTCAGATCTCTAATATATTCAGGATTGATCCATGCTTATATATTATTAATAGTGTTATAATTGCAAATCGTTATCTCAAAGCCTGATTTCTTGCGAATTCTGGCGGAATACAAAATGATAGCAACATTTGTGATTAAACTGAACATTTTTCCTTCAAATATTCTAGTCAGGGTTTTCTGTAAATAATTTTAATAAATATATATATGTGTATCATGGCAAAAATGTAAGATGTTCAATATTTATTATTTTAGCTAAAAGACGTCTATTCCAGAATTATAAAAATTCTAAACAAATGTAAATATTTTAACAAGCTTTTTAGCTTGGTATCTTAGATTATATTTAGAACTCTTTGTTACAGTTCATTCACTTTACTGGTTATTCTTGCCTAATAGGGTAATATACTTAGTTATTTGTCGCATTTTATCTGGCATATATCTCTACCGTCCTTTAGATCGCTTTTTATTACTCTTTCTTGACCTGTTCAGGGCCTGAACCAGCAATGTTCCGATCAAAGAATTTTATCCTTCGTCTAATCTACTTCGAGCATCCCCAGATATCAGAACCTAACGATATTGCAGTCGTCAAAACAGTGCATCAGCCGAACGAAAATAAAATCTCCAGCACAGTTAGTACGAGCACTGGCACCGCTGTCACTGTTATTGGGAAATCTTCTATGGCTGAAGAAACTCGCGCTAATGAACTAAAAAGAGACGAAATTGAAGATAATAAGCAGGGCAACGGCACAGGAGGCCATTTCGAAGTAGCTCCAAATCAGTCTCAAGGTGTAGCTATTAGTGAAGTTAAAACAGCTATCTCTTTACTTACAAAATGCGAAGACCTTGTCTGCCAAGACGGTAAGCCATTCGTAGACCTCTCTTCTGTTCAGGATGAATCCATCTCAGAAATATCTATGATGTCCGACGCCTCCACGCCACTTCGAAATCACTTTTCGGCTGAGAGCCTTGTTGGTCTATCTGGGCATCCGTGTTTTCATGGGCTCAATACAGGAGAGGAAATTGAGTGCGGTACAAGGCAGCAAGATGTACAGCAAGCAGACTTGGTACGTGTAGAGAAACACTGTCTGGTTGACCAATAAGCACATTTACCTATTTTCTGTTACTCGACTATTCCAAAGTTATTATCAAGCCTTTAGGTTTCAGCCGATCTATTGACATGATTTTCTATTTCTTCTTTGAAGTTGTCTTGAGATAAATCTCATTTTGCCTTTACTGATTTTTCTAGCACTCTTCACTGAAGTGCACCCAAAGCGTATTTTCATAAAGAAGTAGTTGCTCGGGGCGCACTGCTTTTTTTCAATGTCCTTATATTCAGGATTTGGGTTTGCATAGAACTATATTATTTGGTTTGTTTTTTTACCACAATTTTCAGCCGAACGTTTTCAATTAGGTAATATACCTTGGGGTTAATGAGATATTGGCTTGACTATGCTCATTTAAAGTAAATAAAGGCAGTTATACTCATCACTTTAATTTCTATAGGATTCACTCTCCTCTTGAAGTATCCAAATTTAATACACTTCAATGGAGATGCGTAAAGTTTACATGTTTTGAGGTGGGTTGCCTTCGTTTTCGCAACTTGGTCTTGTTGTCAGAGTGACTTAGTTTGACGCACCTTGCCCGAATTCCTCTGTCATTGTAGTTATCATAATCCCCAGCATCAGGTCGTGGACTTGGTACATTCTCAGACCCTTTGCCGGCATCGTAATCGGCATCATCAGCGAGTCTTGTCATTCTCAGACCAAGCTACAAATCGTCAAAAATATAAGTTGTAGCCTGATGCTGAGAATGGCAAGACTCACTGATGAGGCCGACTACGATGCCGGCGAAACGTCTGAGAATGTTCCAAATCCACGGCCTCACGTTGAGAATTAGGATGACTATAATGGCATAGGAATTCGGACAAGGTGCATCCAACTAAGTCGCCCTGACAACAAGACTAAATTGCGAAAACGAGGTCAACCCACTTCTATACATCGATAGGGGACTGCGA